ATATATATATATATATGCCATGCACTATGGCTTAATTGCCGACGTTTTGTGATTCTCGCCGATTGTGACGAACTTGTGAAACCGATTTGTACACTGCGAAATATTTGTCCTGGATTCTATCCGGAACTTTGCAATAAATCTCGCACTTTGATAGTCTTAGCCTTTCCCTGTTTTCTTTGAACATTTCTATTCCAATAAAGTCTTGGGTAAATCACTTTCTTGTTTCGGTTTTGACACTTCTCGTAGCTGAGCGCTCTGTGGGAAGGCATTTGTCTAAGATAACTGAGGAACCAATTTGCCTTTGGAAAAACGTGGCGGGTAGTTAGCAGCAGGCCGTAATACCATCGTGGTAACGCATATTTTCTACACGCTGGTAAGAATTCAGCGTCAGGTTGGAGAACACGTGTTTTACCAAACAATTCCGCGTACGGTTACGAGAACTGTGATGTACCTTTGGTGATTTAATTTGAGCTTTCGTCTCTAAATTTAGATGCAGTTGGGGCCAAATATTGTCTCCTTTGGTTGTTTTTTACCGGGGTCAAACTAATGACTTCATGTGCAAAGCCCTCCTGTACCGCCCGGTCTGCGAGCTGAAGGCCCTCTCAGTTTTCGTGGCATATTCACAAGCAAGGAGACTACAGATGACATCATCTTGGGAAAAACGAACTGGCTTACAGTAAGTTTCCCAAGGCTCGAATCAGTTTGTCTACACGTTAAAAAAAGCGAACACTTTGAAATAAATCTGCCCTAACGGTCCGCTGAATATTCCGAGGTGGCTATGGCGTAAACTGAAACATTTTGATACATCAAAATTCCTAATCTCCAAAAGGTTTCAAATAAAATGTACAAATTCTTCGTTAATCTTGCACTTTAACCGTTGAGAAATGAACAGACTTTCTCGTCCTGCAAGCTGTAGTGCCTATCATTTTCGTTGCGTGAAAAGAAAGGCATACTTAATGTAGTTTTCCACCGAGAAACAAGCAATTTATACAGGGGAGTGGGGAAAACTCATTTTATAACATGAGGAGGTATAATCGCCCCAAACATGGTGACCGGGGATATATAATTGGAGGCAGGCTGTCCCGCCTGTGAACGCACACACAAACAGCCGGTGGGTTTCTTCATGACGCGGCAACTTCGACGTTTCTAGAATTGCCACGCTGTTTCTCATGCTACAGAGATATTCAAAGCCCCAGAGCCACAAACGATATGATTATGTTTTGAGGAAAACTACCCTTATTTAATCTAGCGACGTTTGGCTTTACTGTAGAAATACGCCTGGTGCCGCTGAAGATTGCTGAATGGTTACAGTTGTGGCGAGAATGAAATATCCTAGATGTGCTGTCCATTGTTAATTCCAACTAAACAGAATGGCGTCGCTTTCATTCACCTATTTTCTTCTATCCATCTATCTATCTATCTATCCATCTTTCTATCTATCTATCTATCTATCTATCTATCTATCTATCTATCAGTCTATCTATCTATCTATCATCTTCCTTGTTACACAGGCCACATACGTCATTGAATTCATACACCCACACGAATTTGCCACTCTTTCTTAGGCCCCTCTAAGGGTTGTCAATTGTTTACATCTTTGACAGCGAAGCACCAAGTAAAATCAAAATGACGTCAATGGAACCGAGAACTAGAACCCAATTCATCGAGCAAACATCAGGCCACCGTTATCTACGAATCCTGATGCTGTGCTGTGCTGTCAGCGACATAGTCCTTCGCCCCACGAGGTGAAACATCTTGAAAGTGTAGTTGCATTGCGCTACTGTCTGAGCCGTGGATTTTGAAAACGACTCCAAATTGAATATTCAAAATCGTCACCTTCAAGCATGAATCAGATTTCCAGATTGCGAAGTCAATTTGTACGAATTAGACGAAATTCAAGTAGACATTTAGCTCAGGTTGTTAGAAAGTAAGCTTTTTTACGAAAAGAACTGCGTGGCGAATATCATTGTTCTGGAATGCGAAGAAAAACTGAACAAATCTCGCTTCTTGGGACCTGATCGGAAGTGAATAGCAAAACTTCCAGTTTGCAAAGCCACAGCTCGCAGCAGGGGGGTGTCGCGATATATAAAATGTAGGGTTTTGTGTCGTGCACGGTATGCGTTCGGTTTCGGGTGCAGATTCCGGTAGAATTATAGTGGAAATGGACATACCAAGTTGTAAAAATTGTTTGCATTCATGAAATTCATAGTCAAAACTTTGTGCACGCGAAATTCCCGTATGGAGGTTTTGCGAGTTCCCAGGTTGAATTAGGCAGTTCTGACAGGCGATAAGGGTTATGGTGGACAATCATACGGCCCAGCGCTAGAATCAATAAAATAGATTTACACAGGTTATGAAACCAAAGTTAACGCTTTTGAACAAAGACGTCAGAGTTGGTGAAGTGAACGAACCTTGAACACTTCGGTCTTCCGAAAATCACAGTTGTGTACCACTGCCTTCAAGCAGAAATTTGTGAACCATCAGCATGGTACCAGCTTCACGGTATCTCACCCTACAACGCCTGTTTCACATTCGTTTAATCAGCTGGGACCCAACAAACTATCGTGTTAGTGTCTTTTTGTAATGTACTACTCATGAGTTTGCTAAAATCCGTCGACAACCACGACCGGTTTCGCCCTTCTTGGGGTGCATCAAGTAGGCGCAGTCCCCGGGTTTAAGTCAACCTTCTGTTCTACTTGAAACCAAACAGCACGAAACCAACGAATATACACTCATTTGCAAACTCACCGGGAGCCCAGCTGAATCTCTCGGTTTTGATGTTTCCAGGCAACTAAATGTGCTGCACCAGGCAGCCTCGTACTAGTAAGTAGTACTGTTCGGAGGAATGTAGGTAAGGTCAGGAACAACCTGGATTTCACTGTGTTCAATATCCCGCAGCTTTGTCCTCGGTATAAACATATGATACTGTGTTTAGTTATACTGCCGCCATTTTTTCATTTCGCTGGGGAAGTCAAAACTTCACGAAGTGAACCGGCTTAATCACGTGATAGTCACGTCTGATAATAATCACGGGTGATCAGAAACACCGGTAAGCTATCGTTCGGCTTGCCGTGAAGGATGATCCGTCCGCTTCTAAATGTGTCTCAAATGCGCACTTCACAACTGATGGGGTTTTAAATGCACACTAATGGTTTGATGCTGGGTACTACTGATGAGGTATGTGAGTAGTCTCTTTTCTCATAGCTCCGCTCCCCGTCTATTGGAAACCGGAGTTTGTTACGGAATTTGTGGAACTGCTGTGCAGCAGTCGCGTGCTAGCCAAAGAATATATATGTAAGGTAAAAGGCGAGTTCAAGTAAAAGAGGGATATTCAGCTTTTAAATACAAGGTGCATATGAGAGGTGTACTTTCCTGTCCAACCGTCTGTAAGCGTTTAGTTGGTGTTTCTTAATAAACATCTTCGCGGCAAAAAGCTTTCCTCCTTTTAACGGTAATATCATAGAGTGGTCAGGTTTTTCGTGTAGCCTCACTTCACATTCATGGCGTTGGTCAATGCTCGTTTTTTAATTGGAAAGCCAGTAGCCTCACTGAATCCAAACCGTGCCTGTTCAAGAAAGTTCTTAAACGAAGCGCCAAACTCGACCATGTATTTTTCTTCAGTGAGGGTTGAAATATGGTTTCCTATAATTCAACACGCTTTTTCCGGAATCAAGAATGAACGATTGGTCTCAAATCTTGATGCAATAGGAGCGAGCATAATTAGCACTATTCACTGCTAATTGATTTTCTGGTTCTGCGCTTTTACATCTAAATGTCTTTGTAAGGACTGTTAAGCTTACAGACTTGTCTAGGTGATGGTTCGGTACATTCTATATAGACCTGTTTACAGTCTACTAATAGAGCCTTCCCAAATAGTATATTTGTACACATATGACAATATTATTTTAAAATTTATTCCCCTGGATTGAGATCAAATGTGATCACATGAATTCACGTTGTCCCAAGATAGAGGGCACAAGTTATAAGTCTTCGGAAAACGAAACTGTGCTCTCCTAATGTTGAATATAGCAGGCGTTGAAGACACTGTTGATATGCGCACTTGACCTGTCGCGTCTACGCTCAAAACAAAAGGCATAGTATTGACTTGAGAAGTTCCACATACTAAGAGTATTATCCCGGCACGTTTCTCACCAGGTTTCCTGTGTTAAAGTAGTGATTTTGCTGCGCAAGAGATTACACAACGTTATTGATGACTCAAAGTGAGATCCGTCTAGGCTCAAATGACAACTCAGGTGTCTAGTTTTTCGTTCATCGTTTAGCGCCGTCAATGAACACGTCGAAATCATTGATCGGCCTCAGATGCAATTTGTATCAAAACGTCGTGCGTGTTGTTCATCACACTTCGAAACGGTTGTTTCCAGTTCACCCATTCCGATTTGGTCCAAGAATCCTTTTGTTTGGGATAAACCTCGCATCGCCATTCGTTGGTTTTATACGACATGTAACGACAGTGTAGCCAGCTCCAGGAAGTCGATGTCCTGGAGTCTACTGATCCTGACTCTTGACAATGTGGCTGTAAGTGTATAGTGTGTCAGAACGCTCTAACTGGTACGCGAAAAACAAATAGTTCTTTTCAAGCAACAAATCTGAAAGGCTGCGTTTGAAATACGTCGAAGACTATGGACAATATTAAACCAACATCCCTAGAATTCAATACGTACTTACTATATGCGGTCTCCCTGCGGCTTCTGTAAACTGAATTAGAAAAACCAATTTGAAAATGAAACTTTGGTGAATAAACTGACACACTTTTTGAGAAATACACTCAGAGTGCGCGATCCTTGGGAATGCACTACGGTTTTGCGGCAGTTCTGTGGACGGAAATAAGTGCTGGGGCCAAAATTGTGCAGTAGAGTTAGGGTAAGTAGCTCCGAAGAAAAAGCGTGTGACGTCCAGAAATACAGACTGAAAACCAATCTCTGATTTGGATGGCTTAGGATTCCATGCAATGCGGTATGCCTCATTTGAGGGTCGCGACGTATAAACCCGAGATAAATGGCATAGGAGCGACTGACTGAGGGCAATTATGCTGACACACCTTGCGTGAGGTCACTCCAGGAGTTTTTGGCAAACCTGTGAATAGTTTCCTTTGTGAAAATATACTGCGATATCCCGAATATCCTGCCAAATGAAACATTAGGCTGCCTGTGTGCTGCACTTTCAGTTGTAGAGTTTATCGTGAAAAGCAAATTGAGTAGTGAGTAGTTTCCTTTATGAAATCCGACACACTATTTGAAAATTACTCAGAGTGCGCGATCCTCAGGAATGCACTACAATTTTGCAGCAGTTACGCGGACGCAAATAAGTGCTGGGGCCAAAATTATGCAGTAGAGTAAGGGTAAATAGCTCCGAAGAAAAAGCGTGTGGCGTCCAGAAATACAGACTGAAAACCAATCTCTCATTTGGATGGCTTAGAATTCCGTGCAATGCGGTATGCCTCATTTGAGGGTCGCGACGTATAAACCCGAGATAAATGGCATAGGAGCGACAGGCTGAGGGCAATTATGCTGACACACCTTGCGTGAGGTCACTCTGGACGGTTTGTTGATTATGTTGGCTAATCGTATAAAGCGATATGTATTGATGGACTAATTCATGTACTTTTTTTTGACCCAGCAATCACCAGCACGAAATAATTGGTAGCATGGTGTGCAGAATGAATCTAGCCACCTTTAGCGTCCTGCCTAACTGAAAGGATCCAAAAGGTGATGAAACCATTAGGAATCCGTAGTCAAATGGATTAAACGCAAGTTGGTTTGCTCATCTTTGTGCATCTAGAGACCACAGAGGTTCTTCAAATGGGTCACGGTAAAAAGTGAATTCGAGTGGTATGTGAATACCACCCACAGCAAACATAAAGAGACTAGCATGTTGGCAATACGGGTGTAAAAGTTCACAGAAGAGATGACACTGCCCAGCAGGTGGGCCGCGCTGTGAAAACAATGGACGTATGTTATGTAAGATGTGACAAGGTTAGCAAAAAGGCAATAATGTTTGGCTAACGGAAGGTCAGCCTTATTATTTCTGAAACCTCGGCTACAAACCAGAACTCGACGAAAGATTCATCCCCTCACACATTCAATGGTGGCTTTATTTCTAACAACATACGGGCCACTTCTTTTGAATCAGTCGATTTTGATCATTATCTATCAGCTTCACTTAGTGAGAGGCAGTGATTGTAAATCGAATAATTAGCTCTCGAAGATTTTCCAGCAACTTGGGAAAATGTGTTATGCCAACAAGATTTGCTGCAAAATCCTGAATTTGATACCAGAGGAAGCGTGAGTAGGCCGGCCTGTGCCACTCAAAGTCAGTGCCTAAGTGAGGACTCTTTGGTAAGCGTTTGATGAATTTTGCCGTCGTTACTAGTGTAACGGTGGGGTGCATGTGAGTAGCATGTTTCCTCGTAAATCCATCCTCGTAGATCCATTAGGGAACTGGTGGAGTCAGTCCGTAGCATTTGCTTGTGATTTAGTAACAGTCAATGAATATCCAGGAAGGTTCAGGAAGCCACGTTCAAGGAGAAGATGGATATGCAGTTTTGTAAACAAAATTCATATGACAGTTCTGCCCCCCTGTCCAATAGACTGTAACTGTTCAGTTGGTGTTTCTCTAATAAACAACTCCGCAGCAAAGGCCTTCTTTCTTTCGCTAGTAGTGCACTACGGTGTTTCATTGGCCACTGAATATTGGCTTTAGTGCTGGCTGATGGCCTATCTGCCAACTAGGTCAGCGTTTATTTAAAAATAAACAGGTTAGCAAATGAAAATCCAAATACTGCCGGGAAGGCAAGGTCTTTGTTCTTGACGGATCCAAAGAAAAACTCTTGGTACCCTTGAATAAAAGGGACCGTCTCATGTTGCAACAGATTTGTCTGGAACCTTCTCCGTAGCACACAGCAACTTTTAAGTCACGTCGGAAGTGAGTCGCTCTTTGCTGATTCTGAAAAATGGTTTGTTTTTTGCCATTTTCTTTACTCTATTCGAACAATTGACTGGCAGGTAATTTGTCCGACATTGAATCACAAGCAACTTACTTAGATAAGTCGATTTTCAACCCGGAATTCAATTCTCTGATGGTGATTACCGCGGACCGGCAAACATTTTATGCGAGCTGAGAGAAACAGTTCTGAACACGGTGTGTGGGGCTTTTCTTAAACAGTTATTTCGAATAAGCGGGGGGTTAGAATCAATCCGTTGTTTGCCACTTCCACGACAGCAAATAAAACCTAGATTAGTAAGCAAGTGATGTTCATATTTCTCTCTTCAGAGCAAGCCCTGAAACTATTTTGTTCAATAAAACGACCGAAAAAGAAATACGAACGTGGTCACCGAGAGATCAGTTTGGACAAGATTAGTCGAAGCAACTGCGAACTTGAAACAAGAATGTGTAGATCGTTGGTTTTTCGAGATGGATGGACTTACTCAAGCAACTCTCCAGACGCCAGGTCTCTTGATTCCTTCTTCAAGTGAAATGCATCATAGACACTCAGTATTTCTGGATTGTTTGACCACAAAGAACTCCAAGTAAAATCAAAAAGCATTTATGTCTCCATGTAATAAAGCATTGGAAACCGTGTTGTCGCATGAATTTCGGTTAGAAAACATCGCTTCTAGCACGCCTTTGTGAGTCGTGCAGGTTCAACGAATTCTGAACGATGTATTTTACACTATCCCCCCAGATATTTTCAAGGCTGAAAATGTGATAGGCGGCTATGCTTATGCCGCAAATAGTGAAGGTGTACTTCGGTCAGAACACGTTTTGTGGAATGTCTGACCCTAAAAGTTTGAGCTCAAGTTTTTTGAGGCGACCAGTGTGTGGTTGTCTAAAAACCAACCACAGATTGCTTTAGTTTGTATGAAGAACATCAAAAACAACTTTGCAACTTTGCATCTAGGTACCAAACATATTTTTTTCGAGCGACCATAGTTATCCATATACCACCAGCATTAACATACACGTGGTCCACCGAGTTGTCATTTAGTTCTCACGAAATATGCTTATGGAAATCATGCGCGCGGTGCGTTTTCACTGAAGCCGGTTGGTAGTTTCTCTCAAGGGAGAAGCCACACAAAACCTAGTTTGTTTTTGCGTATAAAATGCGGCAAACTATTCTCAATGATATCGGATTGAAGATGAATCGCCGACTGTTACTGATTTTGCCGTTTTTGATCATACTACTTGGTAAGTTTGGCTCATCAACTTTTTTTCAATCATTACGAATAGGGATGACATTTGTGCCACTTAACATGACAATTTGCAAGCGATTGGGTTTCATTTGATAATTTGGTCTGAGAACAACATCAAATGTGTACATCTTCGGCGGGAGCTCAAAAAATGGAGCACTGTTCAGGAAACCTGGACGTAAGATGATCGCAATCTAGCAGGTGCGCTCAGAGGAGAAACGTTGTATATTTGTGGACTTCGAATCCATCATAAATATGGTCCACAGTGTGACCAAAGACGCTCACTTGAATGCATGCATTACTCCACCATCAAATATGTGTCTTTTATTATAAGCGTAGTTTGGAAGAGAGGCAGATGGATAGACCATTGTATAAAATTAGATATCGAAAGTCAAAAACCCGCTGATTGTTACCTAGAAGTTACATAATTAGGCAGCTAAACAGCGGAGTATGTGAAATAAAAATACATATATAATAATGGCGAACTACACGCATTTGAAAACTAATTTGGTTTTTCGGGAGACTCACCTGAAACCCAGCTGGATCTGCCGTTTGTGAAAGGCAAAACCTTATGAGTGGTGCATTAGAAAAATATAAATATATCGCGATATCAATGTTGACCGCCCTAATCCTTCGAACTATAAATGCCTAACGAAAAGACATTAACATTTGACCGCCACAAAGTGATTTCCTTGCGTTCACTCTAATTTATCTTACACAACACATTCTTTATTAAGGGTACAGCATAAAATATCTGGACATTTCTCTCGATTACCACACAGTACTGTTGAAATCCGAACTCAAGTTTAACTACAGATTACACATTTCAATATTTTGGCAAATATTTTCAGATGAAACACCCTAAAACCTTTTTGCATCAACTCGTTTGCGAACTTTGTAGAACTCAACGACCGTAAGTTGGACACATCTAAGCACGGCGATTTATCCGTCTTGAGGTGACTTCACAATACTTTGGTGATGAAATTTGTACCAGAGTTTACAAATAACATCCGGAGATCGCAGCGTACAACTTACTGAATGATGGCCTTATAGTTTTGTTGAATTGATTCCGTGTAAGTCCAATACTTATGTAAAGATGAACTGGTTGGATAATCGAACATCTTCGAAACTTGAACATATGACCCTGTCGCACAAGTTATTTTCGCGGCGGTACACGCCTTCGAAATACCTCTCGATCAACTAGAAAAACGGAAATAATCTCTTGCAAACCCCATCGTTTCCAAAATCGTTTCAAAATCTTCAAGCCCCTATCGGCTTGGCTCTGTGAAACATTCAGGGTAATGGGAATTGATGATAGCTGAATAAATGTAGACTGAAAATGTGTGCTTCGTTTCTCCCGTAGGAGCGCCTGGTTCGAATTCGTGGGCCAGGATTTTTGCAAATCTTGATTGGTTTCGGCTGCGTCGGATCACCGGAGGCATGGGGCGCTTCTTCTGGCTGACTCCACGCAGTAGACCGGACGTCCGCCTGAGCCATCAACAGCGGAAA